AAGATTTGACATGTGGATTAGACATGAGAGAGTAGTGAATAACAGAAATTATTACCATTCAGACAATAGCTGCTATAACATTATGCTCTCCATGAACATGCTACAGTACAAGCAGCATGCAAAAAGAAAGTAGTGTCCAATAGCCTCGAACTAATGGATTTTGCTATTGGGCTACTGAATTTCATTCTTAACTGGACTGATGTACAAGTGCTGTTTTTTGAAGAATTCAAATTACAGTCTAAGAACTGTGTAATCAATGCAGCTCACCAAAAAGTATTTGGCGCTAAGTTGAAATTACCTTTGCTGAGTGGGATTATGCTATAAGCAAAAACTAATGGCAAGCTGTAAAACTTACTTTCTTTGTACCCTGTACAAGTTGATGTTAATTCACATTAGACTATACAGTCTCCTATTATTCAATAAGATCCTCAAGTTTAAGAAGACTCTAGCTGTAACTTAATTGCGTACATCTGGGATGCAAATGTACTAAGAGGAGATGGCATCAGAGTTCACAGAAGTAAATGAGTAAAGGGAAGGATTCCTGTCAAGCCCCCTGAATGCAAGCTGCAGTGATGTGAGGAAAGTTCCCCAACCCCCAGTTCCAGGGTAGAATTGGTACTCTTCCCTAGGTTACACTCAGTACATTGGCAACTTAGTTGGCTAGCATTGAGGCAAGTGCTTTTAAAAACTCAATGATCTTATAGGAGGCTGTAAGCAGTCTAATTAAGTTCACATGGACCAGGGTTGCAATCAATGTTAAGAGAGGACAATTTCATCCTACCTTGAGCAAATGCCTCAAACAGTGATAAATAATAATGTGAAAAACTGAAATGCTCAACTTTCATTGGTTCTGCATGTTACAATCATGGCAACTCAAAGTCTCGATCCCATAATAGTTAGACCCCAGTTCAACCCCAAAACTATAGCATTCTCAATAATTTATCAGATCGAGCTTGTTTTCTGGTTCAAGTACCACAAAATGCATTTTTGTCATCAGGATATTGTGGTATGCACTGTAGGTTAATTATTTTGTGCTACGTTAGAACTTAGTCCCTTTACCCATACAACAAATGCTTCTTTAGAACTTTAAAGAAGAAATCCAAACAAAATTTTCATCAGGGAGCACTAATTTAAACCATAATAACTTTTATGGTAATTTTTGTAGGCATTATAGCATTAAAAATTGAAAAAGTTGGCTCAGCTTTTTCAAGTTTTAATACACGTCCATCCTTGCCATTCGTAGCTAGACAACAGGATAAACTAATTAATATAGTCTCGCATAACAAAACTGGACCATTTTTTTTGGAATTCAATTGATGCAAAAATATGTTTTAGCTTTTAACAATTTAGTTAGCAAATAGTACAATTAAGTTAGTGTAGCATTTTAGATCCTTTAATCCTTCTGTTATGAGAATCTCACTAAGAAAATACGGTACAATCGGAAAGTCCTTTGTAGAAAATTGTTTGTAGTGATTTTGCTACAAATACGTATGGTGAGTCCTGGGACTCATCTTGTGAAAAATCATGAGTCCCAGTCCATGCCAGCTAGTACCAATAAGTCCCACTTCAAAAGACAATGATCAGAGTCCTATATTGAAAATGCTTCTGCCTTTATGTTAAAATCTACAGACAGTTAATCTGAAGACAGACTCCAAACCTCTGTATTACATGTACAGTATACTGAAATTTATTTAGAGTTCTTCTACTTTAATGCACAACAAAGGCTAAATGAAATAAGCCTGGTTTAACAACAGCCACAATAACTTAATAACCACAGAAATCACATGAACAGGATATTCTACAAGAACACATCTTCAGATCGATCAACCGATCTTTGATTTATTTTGCATCTTTGGGGATTTTTATGCGTCAGGGATGCAGGATGCAGAGATAACAAAATCTCTGTGTTTGTAACAAAACTCTTACTATTTTATGAGCAACAATAAACAACAAAAGAAAGATACTTGTAGAGTATGATTATTATTATGATTAAAGAAACCGTCCAGAGAAGAACGATAGCAACAACGGCAACGAACATGTTGGAATGCAAAAAAGGTGCTAACTTTTCTATTGTCTGTACTTACTTCTCATCGGCTTAAACAGCAAAAGTTAACAAAACTTCATAAAGCAGTACATATATTCATTACCATCTTCCATGTAACAAAATCTGGTCTCAGTTTGAGTAACAAAGAAATCCTATGTGCGTGCATGGAACATGATTGTTGTTAAATAAGTAAACTTTTCTTGGCTATTGTTTTTAACTGATCTTGTGATTGGTCAAAATAATTTAACACAAAAAACCACCCTTTCAAAGTGGAGTGTAAATGCATTTTATTGCGTAAACGGCCTTCATGTAGGTTTACGCATTCTCTCTGTAAAAATGAGAACATGAATCCTATGTGAGGAAAGCACCGTTGCCGCATAACAAAAGAAATTGCCATCCACCTTACCCGGATCATTACTTAAACTGCAGTAAATTATAAAAAGGATACTGTGAAACCTAGGAATGAATTAGTTAATTATTATAAGTGTTAATAAACACAAAACTTTGTAGATATAAGCATGAAATTGTTTACACTTTTTTTCTAGTGCTTGTCAGTCAAGCAATCAAAATAAATAAAAATAAATGGAACAGTAAGTTGCAAAGAAATTCCATTTCTGGAGATGCCCTGCACTTTTGTCCCTATTATTATTATACATGCAGATCTTGATTTTACAAGGAGCAGACACAAAACCACAACACACTAGCAGAGACAAATATTGATTAAGGGGCAAGTATTTTGAAATAAAATATCTTACACATTCTATGTTGACTCTGACATGACCTAACTTGCCTGTAAATAATTTACATGCATAGTCAAGTTAGTTCTTGTCAACAAATTAATATCGTTTATACATTCACGTTTTGTCAAAGATGCAAAATGTTGGGTATCCATGACGGAAAGTTTAAGAGCGACTCTCTATAGGAACCGAGTGAGATTGAAAAAATGTGGCACAAGGTTGGAAAAATGGACCCCTTGATATTTCGTCCAGAGATAACCTATGGTATGCTAAGAATCGTGATATAAGTCTTAGGTTCTAGAGTTTTTACATTTTTGAGAAAATCACGAAAAAACGTCGACAATCCGTGACGCCGAAAAATCACAGAAATGAGGTCAAATTTCATGATCAGATAATCGAACTCGCGTGAAGGCGCATAGCAAATTATGGCTTTCCGTAGTTTACAATTTTATTTAGGAGGTATTGCTGAGCTGCTTTGATGATATTTTAGACTTACAATTGTAATTCCGAATTCCTGGAGAGAAAGCGAAGAGAACCGAAATTTCTAGACTTTGAAAATCACATTTTCCATACCGTTTTCAAATATCTCAAAACATACTCGGTATTATGTAGAATTCTTTCAAAATTCAATTCTAGCAAGTAGAAGAGCTGTTTTTGAACGTGATATAATTTTTTTCTTGGCAAAAGTTATTTCTGAGGCGAGCGGCCCCGTGCAAGTTGACCCAATTTGACCTTTCGAAGAGATTTTGTTTAACCAGGAAATGTAAACGATTCGACTAGCATTAGCTCGCTTTCTGAGCAAACCATTGAAAAACCCTGCCATTTCCCAGTAAAACTACCCAGTAAACCTGAGATAATACTTTGATGACAGCTTACCTTCCAAATGGGGGTTTGAAGGCAAATAAGTTTGACGTTCTCTATTAATTTTTCCATTCGTGTCTTGTTGCCGCGCTTTATAATTGTCATATCTTGACATCGAGCTTGTACGCCGGTTCCAGTCCAAGCTTGTGCAACACTTTTCCGGAAAACCAATCCATATGTTGCAATATCAACCTCTCAGTGAGCAACCTCTTGATATTCATTTAGTTTCTTGTATAATGAAAAAATTGCTAAGCGCAAGACGTAAATCTCGGTCTAGTGAGTGTAACGCAATCCTTCCTTCGTCACTTCCGGACCAGGTGATTATTTTTTTTTTTCTGATGGGGGAGGGGGAAAGAAGTTTTCAAACAATTTCTTTTTCTTGTTGGTGTTACACGCAATGCATTTAACGGTTCATTACATGGCCACTGCAACAATTTAATTAAGATTTTCCATCATGATATAAACGTACACAAGACTTTTTCATGTCCTTTGTTCCAAGTATTTAATACAGTAATTCACTCAATTGCTTTCGCTCAAAATACGTTTTTCCCTTCAAGTTAAAAAGGGACAATTTCCCGTTTTTGTCCTTTGCGCACTCAGCTATTGCTCAGCTCAGTGGGTAGTGGAAAATAGCTAAGAGTTGGTAACCACACCCTACTAACTCGCCCTAGTCCCCTACCCCACCCTTGTTCTAACTTTGAATTTAAAGTGAGTGAAAACAAAATGTATTTGGGGTAAAGGACGGTCCATTCCACTTTTTTTATAAATAAGGGGGGGGTACTGGAAGATCTTGAAAACAAAATTGCTCGGGCGCAAGCCGGAAAACAAATTTCCTGCAGAGCGCAAACTTACATGAATCCCCTGCAGCAACTTAGTGACATAGATTCTAAGAAGAAAGTCTATATGACAGTGGTCCCACGATTGACGTACGCTTAGGTTAGGGCTTAGCGTGGTATTTGGGGTACTGAATACTGAAGGTGGGGTACTGATACTGAAGAACGTATCCCTATGATTACCCTCCTCCCACCCCCCTACCCCACCCTTGTGCTAACTTTGGGCTTTACTTATCCGCTTTGCAGCGACATGTTTGACAGTACTCCTCAATTTTGTCTACATAGGGTTGTTTGCGTTTGCTGGATACATCAACAGCAATGTCAAGCCCGGCGCAAATTTCTCTGAGTTTTGCAACCGATAACTTGGTCGTGTTGAGTTTCCCTCCTGAGGTCATTTCGCATAGGTTATATTTATCCCACATGATGGGGTGTCCTGGAAAAAGTTCCCGAGAAACCTTATTCGTCAATTCTTCGATGGTTGCCTCCTGGGTGGAACATTCAATCTCCTCTTCAAGATCATCATCGTTAAAGAGAGACTTCTTTGCCGCAAGTCTGGAGAAGAATCCAGCGACCTGAGATGCAGTCAGAAACTCTTCACTACTGAACATCCGTTTCCCTTGTGAGTCCACGGCAGACATCATAGAGCGCGCAACTGATGCCGGATCACTTTTTCGTCCTGACCGCTCACCTTGTTGAAATTTCTCAGTCAGGTAGTTCTTTTGCTTGTACGTAAATCTAGATCTACGGGAAGCACTTGACTTGAGCGCCCAACCCTTTGGTAGCATGTCGTGAGAAGATGGCGGTTCTGCAACTGCCTCCAGCTCGGGAACAGCTTCGCATTGCCCCTCAAGCCTTTGAGCATATCCAACAGCAGCTTTATCCAGTAGAGTAGATCGCTCAAGAGCACGTTGGTGTTTTCCACAGTCTAAATGCCGCTGCATTGATGAATATCTCACAAATGTTTTGACACAACCTTCCTCAGGACAACTGAAGATCGCCGCGTTACTGTCTTCCTCTTCGATATTCATTGGTGGATCTGGATCTCGAACTGATGCTTTTATGCGCCTCTCCTTGACAGATGTAAATGCGCCTGAGTAAGAGCGAGTAACTCCGGTAAGGGTCGGTAGGTCAGATGGGGATGGGCAATGCAATTTGTCTGTAGGGATGAGTTTACCATCGCCGATACCATACGCCCTCCAAACTAGTAGCCCCTCTTCCTTGTACTCGACATTACTGAGCTGACTAATACCATCTATCTTTGAAGATAGCACCTTCGGGACTTGGACAGTCTCACACAATGCTACGTTAACACCAGGAACTCCACCAGAAGAGAGTATCGCGTCCCTCATCTGCTCAGGCGTCTCGATATCATTTCCAGCGTTAAGATAAATCCTCATATGGGACTTAATAGTCGCAGCCTTCCGATCACATGCCGCCTTGCCCCCTTGTGGATCAGAAAAATCTAGACGCCTGATCTTGACACCTTCTTCATGGCCAAGGGCTGCTGCACAGATGAGAGTGGTTCCACAGTGGTAGCAGCCGGCATTATCCTGCCGATAACAGACGGTCTTGAGCCTGGGCATGGCGATCTTGAGTTGCCGAATAACATCGGCCATAACGGCAAGGACTGCGCAGCTGTCTTGAGTACAGGACTTGAAAATGTGTGCGAACGTTAGCATCTGCAACTGCCCTCTTCTCGTCTTGTGGCAACTGTCAAATGCCATGGGATCCCGCGTTTACCGAACCAGTCGGTCTGACTTTCTCTATACTTCCGAGGAAGATATTTCATTGCCCAATCTTGAACAATTAAAACAGACGACTCATCAATCTCTTCCAAAAGTTGTACTCTGGCGCCATCCTGATTGACGGAACGGAGGAGATGAGACTTCCACGCCAATATAGCGGTCTTTGCATTCTTGACTCGGAAAACAAGTTCTTCCTTCGTGTTGGATGTCATGTTTTGACTTTGCGCAACCAAACCTTCCTCGATATCATTTAGAGTTGACGCCAATGTAGCGCAGCGCTCACACACGTCACTGTGATCGTGATCACATGTGGCCTGGAACGAAGGCTCCTTCGGGTCGCTTAAAGCGTATGACCTGCAGTGATCAGCTACTGTAGAACTCTGGGAAACGTGGACCTGCAATAAACGTTTGGAAAAAAGTTATAATTAAGAAGCGCTGCTTTGAAGAGAACTAAGTAGAAAGATAGAGAAGATTTCACATGACTGTCAGAGTTGCGTTCACTTCATTTTCCTATTGATTGAGGGGCTTGGTCTGTTGTCAGTGAGCCAATCAAATGGCGAACTAAACCCAAACGCACGTTTAATCACGTCACTATTAAACGCAAGTCAGACATACTTCGCCTCCTGGTTGATTTGTTGTTTAATGGGTTCCTCTCCTGGTTGGCTGCGGTTAGTTGCGGTTTGTTCTACAACAGTCAAGTGAAATCCGTTCTAACATGTTGTTATCATATGTTCCGTATGGACCGACTGGCACGCTTATCGAGTTAGTCCTTTGTAGTAATCAGCCTTCGAGTGCCGGACAGTAGAACCATGAAACTGACAAATATGTAGCGGTAAATAGCGCCAACTGAACAAAATAACACAATGGAAGTGATGCTATTTAATGGTATTTCGATTAACTGCTAGCAAGTGGTAGAGGGTGTTTTTTGAAAGCGAAAAACCCGGAGTGTGTGATCGCAGACGCCATATTGGACGCACAAGACAAAGATCTGGGGCGAGTGACATAGCGAGGTGGAGGGATCTGCCTAGCGGGGGTCACACCCACCTTAAAGTCGCTTTTAAGGTACCGCTTGCTTGCGCGAAGATTATTTTCCTGCTGTTTCGCCCACCCCATGCCTTGTCCTACATCTCCAAGGGTTTCAACAACATCACACAGATCATCAAATGCTTCCGCACCTGCAGAACTAACATAATCGAGACCTTGAACCGATGTCCGAACAGACGCAGCGCACGTACTCAAAATCCGCAGAAGAGTAGCGCGGCTTAGTGGCGTGAACCCAGACTCTTGGCAGTAAGTCATATACTGGATGACTATTCGCTCTGGGATAATCATCCGTATGACGTTTGGAACCTTGATAGTCTCCTTCGTCGATAACATGATTGTTCTTTCGCCAAAAGGCAAATCTTGGATAATATGGGGACTAGTGATGAACGCTATGAAGTGGTCGATTTGAGCGGTGGATACTCTCATCCTTGGCGTCGGAACTGTTAGCACCGGTGCCCCCCTTCCATATACTAAGCAGTGGCGTCTGGCCTCAGTGAAACGATACTGAGATAAATCGGGTATCCAGTGTCGCAGCTGATTCAGTGTCAACTTATCAGCCATAATGGACAGGACTTGCCGACGCGTCTCCCAGCTGTCGGCTGCGCGGTAGCACTCGGCGAGTGCGCTCATCATGGTTTCGTCGACTGAACGGCTTGTGGCTTCTTCTCCGTTACATTGTAAGGTTCTTTGTATGACACCAGAGGAATAGACTGCCTTGAAGAGAGAACCACTATCACTTGGAGCTATGTCTTGTAAAAGTGTAGATAGACCTTGACCAGCCTTCCGCACGTAGTAGCGTCGTGTTCTTTTACTTGCTTCTTCCCAAGGCCGCTGTAGCCGAGAACGAATGGGACTGATTCCTCGAGTGCGCAAATAATCATTGAGTGGGTCAGTGGTCTTGGACTGTGGTTCGCGCTTTGTTGTAGCTGGTGTGCTGTCAAAGGAGATCTCCTCAGAGGAGGACGAGTCGTCGCTAGGTGGTAAATAGAAGCTTCCTCCTGGAGTAGCTGGGGTACTGTGTTCAGGACGAGTACGAGTCGTCTCCTCAGCCTGAGAACAGCAACGTCAACTGTTATATTGCGCACGGTTCATGAGGCTTTTCCATGTTGATACCGTAAATCCTCTATTAAGCTCCCCCTCCCTCTCTAATAAGCTCCCCCTTTTCAGAGGAGGAAAGTTAATAAGCCCCCCCTCTCTATTAAGCACCCTCTCCCCCTCCCCCAATCCTTATTCTTCACAAAAAAATTAACGATTAACGTGGACTGATCAGTTATGGTTTATTCATAAAAATTACCAAAGAACATGAGGCCGAAAGCACATTTTTGAAGAATAAGAATTTTGTTTTTGTTACTTTTAGGCTCCCACAAGTGAATTAAATACTTTTGACAGTGACTTTAATTGTACAACGCGTAAGTCTACCCTGTCTCATACCACGGTATTTTTGCTACAGGTGATGCGTTTCGCTAAATTAAATAAGCCCCCCCCCCCCTTAAAAGTGCGTGAAAAAATAAGCCCCCCGGGGGCTTAATAGAGGATTTACGGTATATAGAAAACAAGGCGCGGCATAAATGATTGAAAATCTTTAGAAACAACCATAACAACAGCTTCGCTAAGTATAATTAGGGGGTCTGATTAAAAAAGGGCGATGGAGAATCAGAGTTTTATGGTAACTTAATGAAATTCAGACTTTGATCCTGTGTATAGTTACATATAAAATCAGTGGTATGCGCGAAACTCCCAAAACAGCTAGAACTTACCAAAGAAAGCTCATGAATACTCTCTGAAAGGGCAATAAGTTGTGGGTCTTGGCAATCGGCTCTGACCTGTTCTCCAAGAGTTATCCTACATTCACTACATATTCCTTAAAAAAAGATAAAACAATAATAAATATTGAATAATGATTCAATTTTAGTGTTGAGCATTGCTCTTTCGAATGTGACTTGGCTTTTGTGAAATGTAATGTAGCACTGCAGTCTATAGATTTTATTCGAATGGATACTTACCAGAGCCGACTGGAAGAAATATCCCAGTAATACGCAAGATTAATCTGGAGATGTCTTTATTGATTCCACGATCCGTAGAACGGGATTTGCGGACGTGCTTCGACAGCTGGGCTGGTATACGGCAACGCGCCAAACCCCTTCGCCACCCAATGCCCAGCGAAGAACGATGAGCGGGACAAATATCCATGTCAGAAACATTGGAAGGGAAACTGAAAATTGAAGACCTTGCTAGAATCAGTTCCACTTCAGTGTCTACGCCGCTGCCGGTCATCAGCCCTAGAGAACTTTTGTGGCGTGATATGTCTTTGTTACAAGTTAGCAAGGGAACTAAATCTTGGACTTTAGTGCTTCGAGGGTCTTGACCGCATTCGCCACCAACCAGCCGCTGAAACGAGCAATTTCTCTCCATCTTCCAATTTTTCAACCGATGACGCAGAGCAAATGACTCAATTTCGGCAGAAGTAAACACATGCGTGCTAATTACTCGGGATGCCGAATTGTAAATAATGTTTGATTTCAAAGTATTTTTTTTTTTCTTTTGGACCAAGTGAGCGCTCAAGGTTACACAATACACTTCAAAAGACCTAAACTCATTTTCTTGCACATACTCGTTAGTATCTTTGTAAAGTTGTAAAGATTTTAATCCGCGTAATAAGATTTGCCGAATTTAACAAAAAGTTAGGAGCCTCGCACGTGCTAGCTTCGCTTATCGGGCGAGCGATCGAAAAGTTCGATTTTAAAAGATCACAGCTCGAACGCCGCGAGAATTCTATAGTTAGAACTTTTTTAGAGGTAAACAAACCGTTTGCCACAGATCTACTTGCGTTTGGTAATTATCTCTCTCCATGGAAACTCTCAAAACAGTGTTACGTGCTCTTTCCTCGTACGACTGAGAAACATGTCTTGTGCGAACCCGAAAGCAAATCATTTTCAGTTTTCAAAGAGATAATCTCGAGAATCATATAAAAGCGTGCGTCTACTTCTGCGTCAAAAGGTATCTTGTTGAACATAATTCCTAAACAGTTAGATGCGCCACGAAGGGGACCTATTTGCGTGTTCACCTGCCATGGGCAAATTGGTAAATGCAATTAATACAAATTACAAAAACTCGCTTTGCGGCCAATAATTAGCCCTTTTTCAGACATACATTACTATTTCCTTTTATCTAGCTTTAGGAAATCATTAGCAATGGAACTGCCCAGGCATTTGACTTTTGGAGCTAAAACTCGATAGGATTCCTAGTTTGTTGCACAGTCACTAGAAAATGGGAAAAGTAAATGTGATGCGCGTATAAACACCGATTCAAAGTAATGCTACAAAGAACTCTCTTTCGAAATAGGCTTGTGATTACCAATAAAAAAGTTACAAAAAACCAAAACGAAAACATTGTATGCTAGTAAGGAAGAAAATGAAGAAATGAGCAAGAGCAAGACAAAAATATCCACGCGGATGTATTTGCGGCACGTGATCACCTAGATGTAAATATTGCGTGACATCGATCTGGGTCTATTTTTCAGTTGAATTCGTTCCTTCAGTTCTTGCTTCTTTTCATTAGAAATATTCAATACAAAACTCAATAGATACCCAGAGGATGCTTATATGCAAGACATGCATCCAGGTCCTGCAAAAATATTGCACAAGCCAGAGAAAGGTGACACTTAGAAAATGCCGTAGCCGTATGAAAAGGCCGGTGGCTGAGCACGGCAGCAAGACACAGGAAAATTAGTGAAGAACATCAAAATTATTTGCCTTCAAACACCCATTTGGAAGGTAAGCTGTCATCGAAGTATTATCTCAGGTTTACTGGGTAATTTAATGGGAAAT